CAAGGTAATCTTCACTTCATTTTTGGCAAACCTGATATTGCAGTTTTTTTATATAAATGTTAATATAAACAATATTTTTTTTTTCAGATCTCAGTCAGGACCTAAAGTACCGAAGGTAAAAAAATTATATATTTTCTATCTCACTTAAGGAGTTCATCTTCAGACTGCCTTTGATAGTGATCCAGAATTCTTGATCCTCCTAATATTTTTATATCAATATTTAGAGCAAACGAAAACCAGTAACAAAACACAAAAAGAAGAAACAAGATATCATTGTAAGTAACTGCCAATGTAGCAGGAAGTAATATTTTTGTTTCTGGAAGTTTTGAGGTAAAAATGTCCTTCTGAGCTCACCAATAATTTTCGTACCAGCTAAGCCAGGTCTGAACATTTTTTGGGATCCTAGATGCCAGGATCCACCACCCTTTCTCATCTTCTCTTCCATTTCTCATTTCCAGGAACACAGTGGTCATAGTTATGCGTTGACGACTTTCAATATCTACACTTTTTGCGAACATTGTAACAGTATGCTTTGGATTCTTGAAAAAGGACTTGTTTGCCAAGGTAGGAAATTATTTCAACCAAAAACTATTTGGATTTAATTTATTCTCCTCATGGTGCATATTTACTCATCCTTTTCAGAATGTAAATTTACTTGTCATAAACGGTGTTACAAGAAGAATAAGAAGCCATGCAAATCGAAGATAACGCGAAAAAAAAGTATCGCTAATGTAAGTTTTGTACCCTTGCACTCTTGCAGTTATTAAAAGGCTAGTGATGCCGATTAATTTCCACGGACAGAAAATTTTCCGAAAATATCATTGTTAATCAAAATGTTTTTCCGGCAGAAAATTTGTGTCGACCAATCACATTTTACAAAATTTTCTTTCTGCGGAAAATTTTCCTAGGTGGAAATGGACCTAAACTATTTATGCTGGGTAGCTCTGTCAGGTCTGGTAAACTGTTCACCCTGAACCTCCAGTAAGAGCCAACATCCATTGGTCCAGTCTTGATACAGGAAGAAACTGGAAAATACTGGAGTTGTTTGGTAGAGTCACCTGACAGTTCTCTCCCTACTTGTGACTGACGCAAAAATACGATCAGATAATTGTGCCACCAACATCAAGTGCACCCTTCCCCCCACCCACACACACATTACGCATCTTTATATGTCTACTAAATGTGACATACTTGATCTTTACAGGCCTCTGTGTTTGGAAATGATCTTTGTTTGTTAGTTAGTGATGATATTCAAATTCCTGTCGTAGTAGCTAGACTGATTAATGAAATTGAAAACAAAGGTAAGTGGAAACACTTGATAGTGATATTTGCTGTGTTGGTGTAATGTACTCAGGTGAATAAGATGCTTGTGTGATGTTACTCTGAGTGTATATCCACACCGGGCAGGCTTGAAAAATATGCCTGGCCACGGTGGGAATGGAACCTACGACCTTTGGAATACTAGCCCCATATCGTAGGTTCGATTCCCACCGTGGCCAGGCATATTTTTCAAGCCTGCCCGGTGTGGATATACACTTGATAGTGTTGGCATTACTCTATTCTTGCTATTATGTTATTCAATACTTACTTGTTTACTCTTTACCATATACTTAGGTTTATTTCAAGAAGGCCTTTATCGCAAATCTCCTAGTGCTGCCAAAGTCAGACAACTGAAGAATACATTTTCAAGTGCTAAAGGTAGTATACAATCTCCGATATTTATAGGTATTTTCAGTATTTGTAATGTATTCAGTTCTTCTGTGTTTAAGGTTGTGGGTAGCGTAATGGTTAGTGTATTTATCTGAGACCAGACTTAGGGCCTCAGTCACGCATTTTTTCAGAACTGAGAAAGTCATGCAATATAAAGATGGTCTCTATGGGCGCTTTCCATTAACACGGCCAGAACCGTCAAATTGTTGAATGAAACACAAAACATTTGGGATTCGGACCTATCTGACCGGAAAATTTAAATAACATTAGAATGAGGTCCAGGTAACATTAGAATGAGAAACATAGACCAGATCTTTCCATTGATACAGAGAAAAAAATTCGAGTCTGACCGGTCAGGCCATTAAATGGAAAGCACCCTACGTCTTCAATTTTAACTGGATTCATTTCTACACCTAGATATCAACCTAGTAGACTTAGGGATGTACGCGATACATGTTGTTGCTGCTGTGTTAAAGTTGTTCTTTCGAACCTTACCAAGTCCGCTTATCACTGAGGAAGTCTATGATGAATTCTTGCGAGCATGTGGTGAGTTTACTAAACACTGCATTGTTTTTTATTTCTAAGTTCTTACAGTACTAATGGCTACACAATCCCTAAAATGTTTTTATGTTCCAATAAAGTTGTTATGTATTTCTTTCGTAGATATAAGCGATAGTGAATCTCGGTTGCAGCGGATCCACACGCTCGTCGATACACTGCCAAAGGCGAATCAAGACACACTAGAAAGATTAGTTTTTCATTTAGCAAGGTAGGCATTGTTTGCGGAAACCACTGAGTGTTTTGATCAAATAAAACGCAATGGAAAATATGTTACCTCTGTGACCGGAGTTCTATTCCTGCTATATGCAGCATGCTGATTATATTTTCTCTACCAAACACTCTCTGGTCATACGAGGATTGTCGTTGAGAAGTGAGAATGTGTATGAGAGTTTTCTCAACTCTCATGTCCTGGTCAAACGAGAACAAGACTTACGAGAGAGTTGACTATATATTATCAGTCAAAAGAGCATGACATTTCTTGACAATCGAAAGACCAGGACAGAGTTTTAATACAACTAAAGAAATAAACAGACATGCAGAAATACACAAACTAAAACAGCAGGTTCAGTTTTAACCCAGTGTTAGCGCTAACCCACCTTTGAACAACCGGCCCCAGATGATTAAGTTTTTTTCATTTCATCCAGAGTGGCGAAGTACGAGAGCTCAAACCTAATGTCACCCAGTGGTCTTTCGGTTATCTGGGCACCATGTGTAATGAGACCTCGAGAAGGTGGCAGCGCTTTGGACGGTCTCTATGACATCAGGAAACAGTCAATGTAAGATTTTTATCCAGCAAATGAAAAATACGTGGATCATAGTATGTTTTTCATCAGGGATATTGACTATTGACTTTAATTAGGGTCGTAGAATCGCTCATCATTGGTCAAATGGCAAAGATGGACGCAACTTTAGCAGACATCTCGAAAATTGACCAAACGGTGAAGAATTCTAAAGCAAAATTGGCACGTCTATTGCGTGATAAGGTAGGGTATGGTATAATGCAGTATCGAAGTACAGTAACGCAACACTGCTGACGTAAAATTTGCTATTAACACTTCGTTCTAGGATGCTGATAGTGAATTAACGGCGAGTGAAGAACAACAAAGACAAGCTCTAAATGATAATCTGGAGAAACTAGAGAAACAAAAGTAAGGGGAATTTATTAAGGATGTTGAACCGCGGTTGGACTCCTGCAATATGTTATCTGAGGTAGTAACACTGGACACCAAAAGAATAGTCCTTACAGGACCTTTAGGAAGAACAGTTAAGACTTTTTTATGGATATTCGGTATAAAAGAATGATTTTTTACCACGTCAAGATGAGCTTTCTAAAGAACTATATTTTGATAAATTTTCAGAGCCATGTTGACAGCAAATCTTTCAGCATTAACGCTCCTTACAGGACCTTTAGGAAGAACAGAAGACTGGTTTGATAGATATTCGGTATAAAAGAACGATTTATCCACATCAAAATGAGCTATAAAGAACTATTTTGATAAATTTCAGAGCCATGTTGACAGCAAATCTTTCAACATTAACGCCACACTCAAGCTTGGTCTTTGAAGAAGACAATTCAACTGACAGTGAGAATGGCACATCGGACGAGGTCGATGGTGAGAAAAAGGAATCACTGGAGAAGAATATTGAAGTGGCAGATACACAGGACGTACAAGGTGCCACTGCTATTCAGGAGCCAGGTAAATTGCTTTATAAATTATAATCCTGAACAGTCTGCGCCAGTGTAGGTAGCGCCAATAATAACAAAGCTTGGATGGATAGGAATACAACTACCTGAAAAATACAAGGAGAACTTCAAAGTTCTGTTTGTATTTTTCAAGTAGTTGCATTCCTATCAAATGAAGTTTACCACATCACATGATTCAATAGACAATTCCCATTATAGACCAAGGAAATGCAAATAAATCACAACAGCTAGAAAGGGCACACTAAAATTAGTAAATTTGCAAAGTTTGGTTGCGAAATGTTGTAAAATGCGGAAAATATAGCCTTGCAAAGTTCGCAAATTTTGTATACTTTTGTATTGCGTGCGACCATTTTCGGCCTAAATGTGGTAGGAATTTCCGCACGCAATACAAAAGTATACAAAATATGCGAACTTTGCAAGGCTATATTTTACAACATTTCACAACCAAACTTTGCAAATTTACTAATTTTAGTTTGCTCTTTCTAGCTGCGGTGATTTATTCGAGTCTCCTTGCCTAGTTTTAAAATTAGTCTATAATGGGAATTGTCTATTGGTCATAAATTCACAGTAGTTTTTTGTCATCTAATTTTCTTGCTATACTACATGACTGGTATAAATTCCGGTTCTTTTTAGAGCTAATTCATGTTACCTGATGACGTCATGCGAACTTATGCCAAGATAACACGTGCACGCAATGTCCTCAAAATATCACCCAAGCCTTTGTAGTGTGATATCTTTTGTGGACATTGCATGCATATATTATTTGGCTTTTATGTTAGATTCAAGTACAAGTACAAGATTTCTCATTTTTGGCGCATCAGTTACGCCATACTGTTTTCGTTCACCATCACTAGAAAACATAATTTTAGGAAACACTGTTTCCTAGCGATGTTTCCTGTAGTTAGATAAGCAGGGAAATCTCGTTTCTGCAAAACAGACTTGCACTTGGAGAACATATTCTTGCATGATGTTTGTGATGTTACTCTGAGTGTGCATCCACACCGGGCAAGCTGAAAAGTTAGCTTGGCCACGGTGGGAATCGAACCCGCGACCTTTGGGATACTAGTCCAATGCTCTGCCAACTGAGCTACGCGGTCAAGTCGGTTCGAGTTGATGATATTTCGGAACCAAGTCTAGTTCCTTCGATATCAGTGTATTCTATGATATCAACTCGAACCGACTTGACCACGTAGCTCAGTTGGCAGAGCATTGGACTAGTATCCCAAAGGTCGCGGGTTCGATTCCCACCGTGGCCAAGCTAACTTTTCAGCTTGCCCGGTGTGGATATACACTCAGAGTAACATCACAAACATCATATTCACCTGAGTACATAACACCAACACACACAAAATAATATTTCTGCATGTTGTTTAGTTTGTCCCGTGTTTAACATTCCACTTTATTTCAGCTCCTACGGAGCAGCAGCCGCCCAGCGTTCCACTTAGTCACACGAAAGAAAAACGTGGAAGCAAGAAAAATAGGAACAGTTTAACTAAACATTATGTGGACACTTCTGATTCACAGGACTCGCTAGATTCCGTCACGTGAGAATCACATGCACGGCGCGGTTGTTCAGTGTTTCACATGTCATGTCAAAGCTGGTTCTTTGGCACCTGTGCTGGTCCGCACTGTGCAAGCTAGTAGTGGGTTACATATTCTTTGGTGCGACCCGCGGTGTTTTGAATGCGTAGACAAATAACATGCTTTTTTGAGTATGGGTAAATGTTTTGTATTACGTGTTTGGGCAGACCTGGAAAAAAAAGCCGATCTCAGTAGCCTGAAGAACAATTGTCTTAGCAGGAAGATTGATGGTCTGTGTACAGAAGTATTATGATGTAATACAGAGTCTGTACACAGACTACAGCAGATGATTGAGGAACATTCCACACATACGTTATGGGGAAATCTTAAGGAATCTTTATGTCATACTTCCGTATCTGTCATTTGAGTATAATTGCATAATTACTGTCAAATTTCCCATTGTTTTTATGCACATTTTCCAGGTTTAGTTATAAAATGTAAATGTTTGAGCTAGCCCATATGTAGCTTATCAACCATTTGCAACACACAAAACTGCGTTTATCACTGGTATCAACACAAGAGGATACGTAGTCTGTGCTCCAGTTTAGTCCAGATTGGTATGCTGGAACACAGGCTAATGGATAAGGTGCCGATTTCCTTCGTTTTTTAACAAATGTTTGATCAAAACTTTTATCCAGACTGAAAAACATGTTATCTGGATGCCGATTTGAAACACAAATTCACCAAGATCGATTTTGTAATAAGACTGATAGAAATCATACCTATAAATTACCAATTAGTCATTTTTTAAAATTTATGCCCTTGGGGCCACAGTAGAGCGCGCGAAACTGCGAAAACAATTATTCAAATTTCTATATTGAGGAGTATTTGGAGCAGAGAGTGTATAATTGGGGGTGACGCCCTAGTGTGACTCTGATGAAATGAATTATTTCATGTAATATATATGTAATGTAAAGTATATTAATTAATAACAGATGAGTGCAATTTGCAAGCATGATTAATCTATTGATAAATAAAGCAATATTGGTCATTTTTCATATTTCCGATTGTTAATTATTAAGCTTGAAAACTTAATTGTGAGCAGCAGGGCTGCCGAGAGGGGGGGGGGGCAGGGCGCGGGCCCAAGTAATTTTTTGGGTGAAATATTTCTGCACAAAGGGCAAGATATTTGTTTTGGGGGGCAAAGTACCGAATTTTGGTTTGAAAAATTAAGGTAAAGTTGCTGGAAAGCAATTACAACATACTCGTCCAGAAAATTTTTTCCGTAAAAAGTTGTCGGGGGGGGGGGAGTTGTTGTCCAAAAAAAATTTTGAAATAGGGGCCCCTAAAAAAAATCGCCCCGGGCTCCCGCCAAGCTCTCGGCGCCCTGGTGAGCAGCCTGGATCAGCATTGGGTCAAAGTGTAAGGATCAGTGTAGAGATTAGTCTAAAGGACTGTTTAGTACACATGCAATTTTTGCTGTGACTTCTAGTCTGATTTCTTTTCTCATGGATGTGATCAAGTGGATGAGTTATGAATGCTCAGATGAGGGAAACTGTACATTCGTAACTACATCTACTCATTCACATCCATCAGAACAAGTAAATAACCTTAGATATTGCAGCAAAAATTGCAGGTTAATCAAACTCATGATGTCACAAGGTGCCCAACATTCAATAGAAGGCCCAAGTCAAGTAGCCTGCATGGCAGGTGGCCAGCCTGCCGTGGAATGCCTAAAAGGTGGACGAGGCAAAGGAAGTGAAAAACTGTTGGCTATATTTAATAGTAGGCACCAGTTGATGGGTGATTGGCTGTACTATTTTTACTGCTGTCAATCAAAAGGTAGTAATGCATGATAAGTTTTTATTGTTTATAAATTATTAATATTTAGTGCAAATTTGCTCATTTATTTAAGGCCATGTTGCACAAGGTAAGTTTTGCTGCAACCGGCAATGCAAAACATATTCACAGTAAAATTGAGGACTTGTCCTTCATTTTACTCCTTAATTAACATACAATAAAGGCATGGAAAAAAAAATGAATCCAAATGAAAAATACCAGAAAAGTGAGAAGTAGTCCAATGACACTGATTTACTGTTATAATATTTTTTAACTTAACATTAATACTTTATGTCTGCAATGCAAGTTGCAACAAAAATTACCTCTTGTAACATGTGGTCTAATTACAGTATTCTAAATAGACTGTCTGAGAAACACAGTTGTGTAGAGATTTGGTGATCTCTATTTTAAAACCTTTCTACACACATGGCAATTCCCATGCCCCCTCCAATACATAATGCTGCAACACCACGTCTCTTGTTTGTTCTTATTAATGAATGGATTAAAGTGACCAATATACGACATCCTGACGCTCCAAGCGGATGACCAAGTGCAATGGCTCCACCATTTATGTTCACCTAGAAAGATTCAAGTGCACAGTGGTTAGTGCGCATGCCCTTCACCACAATGACCAAGCTTTGAATCATGCAATATGCAGTTGCCTGATTTCTCCTCAGTTGCATCTGATTCATGAGAACATGCAGGATTTCTCTGGGTATTCCAATTTCTTTCTGTACTAACACTGTAGGGAAACTAGTTTAGTTACAGTAATATATACAGTACATTACCTTGTTTTGGTCAATCCCAAGTTCCTTTACGACTGCACATGACTGTGATGCAAATGCTTCATTTACTTCAAAAACATCTACTTCATCTACACTCCAGTCTGCTTTGGAAAGCTGCAAGGATGCATAAATTACAACAAAACAAATAATATATCTCAAAGATAATAAAGATGCATTGGGTCCAGTATAGGTATATCACTCACAGCAGCTTTGATGGCAGGAATAGGCCCTGTTCCCATGACGGAAGGATCCACCCCAGCCTGTGCCCATGTGACAATTTTAACCAATGGTGTGAGACCGCGACTGCTTGCCTCTTGATATGTCATCACCAAGACAACAGCTGCACCATCGTTGATACCAGATGCATTGGCTGCTGTGACTGTTCCAGTACCATCCTTGACAAATGCTGGTTTAAGGCGGCTCAATGCTTCCATGTTGGTGTCTGGTCTTGGGTGTTCATCCTTTGTTATGACAGTTGTACCTGAAATTGGCAAGTTAGTTTGTTCAATGCCTGTTGCTGTCCACCCGACAAGTAAAATTGTGGTGTTATACAGAAAAGAACAAAGTAGGGCATATACCTTTCCTGGTGGTGATACTGACAGGAACTATTTCACTTTGAAAAATATTTTCTTTTTGTGCTTTCGCTGCCTTGTTCTGAGAATTGACAGCAAACTGGTCTTGTTGTTCTCGTGTAATTTCCCACTTCTTTGCAACATTTTCAGCTTTAAATAAATTTTATTTTTATCATTGTTTGGGTCTAAATCAGGTGTCACTTTCGTAAGGTGAGGATTGGGATTTAGGGCTAATACTGTACCTGTAATCCCCATGTGGTAGTCATTAAATGCATCTGTCAAACCATCGGATAACATGGTGTCCTTTAATGTTGCATCTCCAAACTTTATACCTGGACGTATGTCAATGCAGTGTGGTGCCTATGTGAGGAATTTCCATTAGATGTTGGTTTCACTAAGCACTATTGTGCAGCCACACCTATACATACCTGACTCATATTTTCCTGTCCACCAGCAATCACGATTGTGGAATCGCCTGATTCAATAGCTTGCTTGCCCATGGCAACTGTTCTCAGACCTGAACCACATACCATGTTCACTGTACTTGCAGGTACTGATGTTGGTAGACCACTTGCTATTGCTGCTTGTCGAGCAGGATTTTGACCTTGTCCTAGAGAAAATAGGAACCATGTAGTCATGTAGATGAGTAGCCATTAAATCCCTCATGAGTGGCTTAAGCAGTCTAATGGACAAGGAAGGGGACCATAGATATATAAGATATCTATGAAGGGGACCTTCAACAGTTGGACTTTGTCACAAATGGGTCATTCCATTGCATTATGGGGAAAGCCGAGGGTTGCAATTTTTTTATTTTTTTTTGGAGGGGGGGTGCATAGCTTTAGACAACATGAGACTACAGTACTATCTGGACATTTTTAAATGAAGTAGAGGTGATGTATTTTATACCTGCAGTCAGAACTTGACCCAAGATTACTTCAGAAATTTCCTCATTTTTCACCACTTTGATTTCCTCCATCATATTTTTGATAACATTAGCGGCTAGATCGTGAGCTTTGACCGAGCTCAAACCACCTCGAAATGTTCCAATGGCAGTTCTCTTTGCATATACTATAACAACATCGTTTGCCTTAAAAGATGCCATGATTGTAATGCACAGAATATTCCGTATGTGGACAATAACTTCGCAAAAAAGGCCGTAGATGTTATATGCTGGATTAAACTTGATTTATGTGTGCATATGTTGAAATATGTGGTTTGTACCAGGCACCAATCTCTGAAGATCACAGAGTGTCAGAGACAGAGATCACAGAGTTGTGTTTCAGTTCGAATTTTGCAACAAAATCGTTTGCACAATTAAATAAGTAAGGCTATACATTTCTTCAAATGTCTCTTCACTCTCTTGCAAAGTTGGTAAAACTATTGAAGGTAAACTTTTTATTTTTGTTTCGCGAAATTGCGGGGAATTTGCGCGGATAATTGCGGGAGAATGACGTGTCGTGACTAGATGTAACAAATTTTGCAATGTAAATATTTTTTTAATTATAATTATAATTATTTAATATAATGTAAAACATAAAAGATGAACATTGTTTACATTAATAATGACAATATTGCATATTCCTTTGACAAATTAAAGATTTTTTATTGCAATCAGTGCTCTCACAATCAAATTTTCGAATTCCTTAGAAAAAGCTCAAAAATTCCTCAGATTTCCTAAAAATTCCTTAAATTGGTAAAATTACTACAAGACCTGATCACATAGTTTATTTATTTATTTATGTATTATGCTTTGCCAATTTCACACAATCATATCTGCACAAATACAAACACAAGAATATACAAACTATCAATCAATCAATGGCAGGGTATATCAATATGCTACAGCTTTGCTCCAATTACAGCAGCCCTTAGTTGCAAAAAGTGTTTTTTTCAGTTTTTCAACCTTGTTTCTAAGCACTAAAATCTGAAAACATTTGATTGTTAGCATATCAAATGCGATAAAGAAAACATTCAACATGATGTATTTTTGATCGTTGCTGCATGAAGAGTTTAGATAATATGTAGATTTCAGAAGAAACAGCATATACTGACATTTAACTTTTGAGAATTTTAATGGAAAGACAGCCATATGTCATTTATGACATTTATGACATAGGGAACATACGAATATATGTAATTATGTGCGTATAAATGTATAATGTTGTTACTTTCAAGTTTAAATCTCATTTGCGTGGCATGTTATCCTCCGTCCAACATTTCTAGTCCAAGATAAATTGTTTCGGAAATTCCTTAAAAAAATCCTCAAAAACCTAAATTCCTATTTTTAAGGATAATTCCTTAAAAGTGAGAGCACTGATTGCAATAACAATTCAGATCACGATATATGATAAGAGCGGAAATACGTCATTTTACACCACATCCTGCGACCACATGCACGCAATGTTTATTATATCACTAATTCAAGTAAGCAATCTTTCATCTTTGTGTTTTTGGTCTGAAAATTTGTCCATTATTTGCAAAGAACAAATTGTGTCTTTCTGCATATGTTTTAGAGCTATAATTTTAGAGGATTTACTGAATAATTCAAAAGATCTCGAAACACATATTTGAAAATTCAAATTTGGCGGGAACCCGCGCTGTATAAAGAAGCCTGGGGGCAAACGAACACGCTTCTTTATTTTGTACTTTGGAAGTCAGTATATAAAGTTTTTTAGGAATTTTTTGGCCCTGTTCGAACCGTATAAAGTTATTTTATCATACAGTTCAAGTTTATTTGTTAAAATGAAGTATATTTTGGTGACTGGTGGTGTTATAAGCGGCCTTGGGAAAGGCGTAATCGCGAGCAGTGTTGGCGCGCTACTTAAATCGTGCGGGCTACATGTGACTTCGGTGAAAATTGATCCTTACTTGAATATTGATGCAGGGACCTTTTCTCCTTATGAACACGGTAAGAGAATAATATTTTGCCTTTATCCATGGGTATTTTGTCTTTGACCATGACTGTTTTACATATATATAAAAATATGTGTGGTATGAAATTTCTATTGTCAGTATTGGCGGCCGAGCAAGAAGTCTTTTATGCTTTGAGATAAACAAGTGACTTGCATATATATGTAGTAAAATTGTTTCAATATAAATGTCTAAAAGCCTAAAAAACACTGCTGGGGCAAAAAAGGGCAGTTTTTGGGTGCTTTTATAGTGTAACCCAATTATTGGTCCCAAATTGATAGAAAAGTTTAAGTTGAACTGTAAATGCCAGAGAGTTCCATATTTCTGTCTTTATATTCAGACAATTTTAGGAGTGATCGTATCTTCCATTTTGCAGACTTGTTCCACAACAGGGGGGGGGGGGGGGGGGGGTGGAAGTGGGTGATTATTGTACTCAGAGCCCTTTTTATGAGCGTACAAGAATGGGGCGAGGTAAGCTCACAATCTGTGATTGTTAAATATTTGGGATGAAAACTGACTTTTCGTAACAAACTAGACATTTCTGTATAGGGTAGGTTAAAGTAATCTTGGAACAAGTCCGCATAACAAGACAAAAATATTTGTTGATAATCCCTAAGCTTTCTTCTATTTCGCTGTTTTTAGGGGAAGTGTTTGTCCTAGATGACGGTGGTGAAGTTGATCTGGATTTGGGAAATTATGAACGTTTCCTGGATGTGATGTTATGTAAAGATAATAATATCACCACTGGCAAGATCTATGAAGATGTTATCCAGAAAGAAAGGAAGGGAGATTATCTAGGAAAAACTGTACAAGGTATTGAAGAAAAATTAGTTGGTAATGTTAAGTGTATTAGGACATCCAAAGGGTGTAGAGATAGAGAGTTAACTTCCAATTTCCTCTGTGGGGGAGGTATCGATGTTTTCTGGAATGACCCAATCTATTGTATCTTACTGCAGGAGTGGGCAATATGGAAGAGATGGCCACACCCCCCACCCCCCTTTCCTTCACAAATTAACATGTGGGCTGTCTCTAACCATAAAAATGCATTACCATTTGCTAATATTTCATATTTTGCCATTTTTAGTGGTGCCCCATATCACAAATGCTGTACAGGAATGGGTGGAGAAGGTGGCTCTCACTCCATTACAAGACAACAATGCAGCAGATGTCTGTATCATTGAGGTATATATATTTTCCCTATTTTTTCTTATAAAAACACTCTAAACACTCTCCTCAATTGCTTGATCCATTCGCACTGGATAGTCTGTTCTCGTTAACATATAAAGTGTTTATCTGTCACAGCTTGGAGGAACAATTGGTGACATTGAAGGCATGCCTTTTGTCGAGGCTTTTCGTCAGTTTCAATTTCGTGTTGGCCGCGATAACTTCTGTGTTATCCATGTTAGTCTTGTACCTCAGGTAAGCTGAAAAAGGGTTAATGGTTGAGCTACTATCTTAATGGTCTGCAGTACACATTATAGTTTGAAGGGTTTGCCACAGCCAAAACTTCAAAATGTTTAGAAATCATGGAGGTTGAGCATGTATAATATTTTGTTTATAGCCTGGTTCAACGGGTGAACAAAAGTCCAAGCCAACTCAGAACAGTGTTCGTGAACTAAGGGGTCTTGGTTTGAGTCCTGATTTTGTAAGTTGCATCATTGATTACTGTATAGTAAGTTGTGGCCAGTTCTGCTAGGCCAGTCTGGCCCTGAGTGCATGCACAGGTCCAGGAAAGCCCCTGATCCAGGGTAGGCCAGTTCCTGGCTTCCTTTTTAATTTGAACATTGCATTTATTCTCCTTTTTTAATGTTATTTCTTATTCAGATATTTTGCAGAGGCAAAAAACCCATTCAGGAGGCAGTCAAGAATAAAGTTTCAATGTTTTGTCATGTTTCACCAGATAAAGTAATTCTGCTTTTTATAGTGAAACTTCAATCCTGCTTTTCCATTTGCCACGACACAATACTACTTATGTCTTTATTTTGCTATATACCAGGTGATAAGTGTTCACGACTGTGACAGTCTGTACAGAGTTCCAGTTCTTATAGCAGAACAGAATTTAGTTCCATTGTTGAAAGAAAAACTTGGTTTAGCCGCCATAACCTTGCCATTTGAGCCTCAGAACTCATTGAAAATCTGGTGCGAGTTGGCTGAAAGGTAAGGTTTTGTCTGCTGTCATCAACTTAATGTAGTAGCCTGCATGGAAGGCAAGCCTTCGAAATGTGAGAGCCTTTCACTCAAGATGTGTAGCAAAGGCCTTTCATCAGAAGAGTACTTATTGGAAGGTATAGAAAAATGCCATGCTGGCTAATACCACTAGTTCAAAATGTTGTTGAATGTTTCCAAAACCTAATTCGTTTACTAGACAAGAAAGTGTTCGCAATGAAGTCCATATTGCATTGGTTGGAAAATATGTTAAGATGGAAGATGCTTACCTTTCTGTTATCAAAGCTCTTACTCATGCAGCTCTGCATTGTAACTTAAAACTAATTTTACAGGTACGTACAGTACTGTAATTAGGACTAATTAGAGTACCGGTAATCACTTGCTTCTAATAGACTTATTCTTGTTAAATATTCTTCTGTATTTTCAAAGTGGATAGATTCAGAAGACCTTGAAACAGCAAAAGTGGATGCAGAACCTGTTGTGTACCATGAAGCATGGAAGAAACTTTGCAGTTGTGGGTAAGATATCAAATAAATTGTTGATACTATAAGTACATGGCTTTTGCCTCAATGTACTATAATGCTGTCTAATATTTTTTTGTTTTTCATGAAAATCTTCGTAATTGCTAATAATATAATACACCGGCCCTTCCAGGAAGTACATCACTTTGGCAATAGATCGCCTTGTTTTCAATTATGAAAAACGAGGCTCTATAGCTAAGGTGACATACTTTTCGGAAAGGTGTATTAGCACTGATTGAAAGCTACAGTATGCAGCATTTGTGTTTCCACAAACCAAAACGAATAAAATGCTATCTTTATTATGATATATCCAGTGGTGTATTGGTTCCTGGGGGTTTTGGAAACAGAGGAACTGAAGGAAAAATCTTGGCTATAAATTGGGCAAGAAAAAAGTCGAAACCATTCCTGGGTAAGACAAAAAAACCCTTACTAATTATTGGATTGTAGTTGTTTAAGAACAGCATCCTTTTGCTGGATAGGTGTAGGTTATAAAAAGTTTGGTTGTATATATAAAAAGTTTAGTTGTTTGTAGTCCGGGCAATTGGTACTGTAATTTCTGAACTGTCTTTAGGGGTGTGTCTTGGATTACAGCTTGCTGTTGTCGAGTTTGCAAGAAATAGACTTCAGTTAAAAGGTAAAAACCTTGATATATTTGTGGTAATACTGTAACAGTAAGTATTTTATTGATATAAATTATGTGGCTCATATATTATTTTTCAGATGCTAATTCATCCGAGTTTCAGAGTGACACTGAAAATCCTGTTGTAAGTTTATAGAGTAATTGTTTCCTTAAGATGTGTCGTGTCTTTTTTATATCAAGCACTATATACACTTTGTGATTTTTTCAGGTTATTGAGATGCCTGAACACAACCCAGGTCAGCTTGGTGGCACAATGCGTCTAGGAAAAAGAACAACCGTTTTTAAATCTGAAGAAAACACAATTTGTAAGTATGACCTTTATTGAAATATATTATTTGCAATTACCACATCTTCAGCTTTTCAATCAGATTTAATATAGTATTAAATATCTTGTATTAAATTTCAGATAAATTGTACGGTAGTAAAGAGCATATTGAAGAAAGACACAGACATCGCTACGAAGTAAGTATCTGTGACATGTTCACTGAAAACTCTACTTTTGTATAAGCTACTGTATTTCTTAATTAAATACACTTTTATGGCAGTGCTGTATTGCAGTATAATATCACTCCTCAATCTTATTCCTTAATCACTAGGTAAATCCAGCTTATGTAAAAAGACTTGAAGAATTTGGTATGAAATTTGTTGGCCATGATGTTGATGGTGAACGGATGGAAATCATGGAATTACAAGGTATATAACGATTCTCATCTAATGCATTTTCTTTGGAGAGAGCATTAATTTGTTACAATCAATATTAATTGCTATATTTCCCACAGATCACCCATACTTTGTTGGAGTTCAATTTCATCCAGAATTTTTAACAAGACCTCACAAACCATCGCCACCATACCTAGGACTAATTCTGGCTGCAAGTGGTAAACTGACCAGTTACCTGTCAAGAGGTTGTCGTATGTCGCCTAGTAACAGCCTTGGAAATTTGTTTGGATTTAAGGAGCAGTTGTCATATTAAGGTTATTCATGTATGCAATACATTCATTATGTATTGGTGAGAGGTCACATTTCAGATGGGAAGATAGAGCAAGGTTTGATCAGCACAACACAACGAATTTGAAGAGATCTGATGGTGAAAAATCTTGCATTTTGTCAGGGGTGCATTTGCAGCAATAGCAACGTTAATGAAGAAGTTGTTGGGAGCACCTACAGTAGTAGTATTGATTGTATATAATTTTCTACTCACTGTACCATGTTAGCAAGTCAATTTGCCAACTTATTGACAAGCTACATTGTATTGATGTTTGCACAAACAGATATTAACTTGAAACCTATGTACATATACCAAGTTGGCTGAAGGCCTATATTATGCTAATAGAAGCATCAAGCATCAAAACTGAATTCGAAACTGTGAATATCCAAATGTTCAACTGAAACTTTATGAGGACACTATTTTGCCACTTTCTGAGTGAATATTTATTTTAGAAACATTGTGTTATATACAGTATTGAATTGACACAATTTCTTTTGCAAAGTTTCTTAGCAGATTTCTATGAAATATTTTTATACCATATTTATTGTTGTAACACATTTACAACATTAACTTGCCACACAACGTTAACACTATATTTTGTTTCACTACTAATATAGGTCAAATAAATAAACTATAATATCTTGATTTTTAACACAATTTGTACTGAACACATTGGTGATTGGCTGGCTGTTCTCTGAGTGATGTCAGCTTCCACTTAGTTTTGTAACAATGTCTAAGATGTACATCTGTAGTTGGATTTCACTGGAGTCATTTGTTAAATGAAACAGTGGCACTCCAGCTCTCTATATAAACAGAGATAGATAAAACATCAATAATGGCTCCAACTAGAAACTACAGTTACAAACACTGAAGTTTCTCATGGGAATTAACAATGCTTTTATCTGAAACTGTTCATCCTTAGATGCAGTTGACTTTGTTGAAAAATTGAACAGTATGTGCCAGTGTAACAAGGACAACTTCAATGTTTTCGAGCGAAGTTCTCCTTGTACTTTTCACATAGTTGTATCTATCAATCCGAAGTTTTTATTATTGTAAAATACCTGCATTGTAGTTTGTTGATCTGCCACGACTCTATCTAACTCCAGCACTAATTTTTGATCCAATTGCACCAGCTCCTGTTCAAGTCGGCTTCCCAAATTCTCCTTTTCTTGCACATGTTTTTTTCTTATCACAGGCAGGTGGTGGGGTTTATTGCTACATGCATCAATTGCCGCCTTGTGAGTTTTATTCTGGTCCATTCTTTCAGCTAAAAAGTAGAATTAAACAAGTTGCTGTTTTGGCAGACGGTTAATTTGGTGTACCACACATCTACCTTTTTGGCTGTTGATTAATTTCATTCTTTTGTTCAGTAAATTTCTCTCGGTTAACTGTTGAATGTCTTCTAGACCACGGACAATTTCGAAAACTGTTCCATCCATCAACGACAATGCTAGTGAGTTGACGATCTCAGAGGTCATTTTCTCTTGGTATGTGCTATTGAAACAAAATTGTGAATGTTTATAATGTGAATAAAATTTGTGTGTGATGCAACTATACTTTAAGTGGCAATGTACCCTACTTTACAATTTTACTGTCTATATATGCCAGATTATGTTATACTCTGTCTAATGCCAGACGATTTTACTCATCATTTATACCACCCATCAACTGTTCATATAAAGATCATCAGATTTCAGGGGGGGGGGGCAAGTTAAAAACTCTGGTTCTTTAGATGGCTCTTTTTTTACTTGGAAAAGTTAAATTTAAGGACATTTTTTCACATACATGGGTAAATTTGTAACAATGGATTGGATTTGACTCGCTAATTTAGTCCGTTTTTCACTGTCTGCTTTTCTAGTTTCATCAATCTCTTGTTGTTTTCTCTGTTCTTCCTCGCGTTTAAATACTTCCTCTCGAACATGAGCAAGTAGTCCTGCATCAATATTTGGCTGGTAATTCGATTTTGGTTGATAAAAACTTTTCTTTCCCGAAGCATAAAACTCCATATTTTTTAAATTTTTGTTTTGAAACGTGCCTGTTTGCAGGCTGGAGGCATCCTGAAATTGGTCAGCCCGCAACAAGAAGTCTTCGACTTTTTTCCGTTTTATTCTTCGATATGTTTTCCTACTATTAAATATTTTATAATATTTATATTAATTTAAAAAAAAACATGAGGTTATTTTCCATACAGTAAGATTCCTAGTAGACCTCTTGGCCCTTGATTTGGTCAATAATAAAAGGTCGAATTTAATTAATAAATAAATACATATAAAATCCGTCTTTTCGACAAATATGTTCGGAATATTTCGTCGTTTCATCTTCTGAGCACATTTTCACTTGTGCTTCCCCCCCCCCCCCTTTGAGATCAAATGCAGCCTAGTTTTTCAGGGGGGACCTGCAGCGTTTGAAAAAAATCGGCCATTTTGAAAAGAAAATTCAAAATATGGCTACAGAAACTGTAGTTTTCAAGAAGAAATCACGTCGAAATTTTCGCAGAAAGAACTTAGACGACGAAATTGAAGACGAAGCGAAAGTCGAAGAGCCCGTAATTGAACAAAAAACAGAAGAAAAAGCAGAACAAAAACCAAAAAAATCTTCAAAACCCGCGCCAAAAACTTTGCTAAGTTTTGACCATGGTGATGAAGACAGCGATGAAGTTTTTAAAGTGAAAAAGTCCAAGGAAAGTCGTAGGTTGTCAAAACAACGTGTTAAAGCAAAGAAAACGAAAGAGAATGAACCAGGAGAGAAAATTTCCAGCTCTGCAACAGGGCAGGAGGCTGTAAATGATGAAAAATTAGAAAGTTTAAGGGAAGAACTATCAAATTTAGGTGATGATGATGGAGAAGGGACAGAAAGTGGAGGGGAGAAAGTCGTCCAGAGTGATGGAATTATATTTAAACCTTTACGTGCTAACCCAATTAAAGATTCTTCTTTTCAAATTCCTGACGCGGCTGCCATCCATGCTGCGCGTAAGCGAAGAGAAATGGCACGGCAGTTGGGTTCGGAATTTCTGCCTGTTGACAATACTGATAGATACAGTGGGAGATTTGAAACCACAGATAAATCTCGGTTGATACGGGAAGATGATAATGATCATAGTGATGATGAAGATTCAGATACGCCACTCGGGTTTGGCACAAGAAAGTCAAATCATCCGGGCATGCAAAGACGACTCGAAGTTGAACAAGCGCTTGCAAAGGAAGATGACGAGGATGAGAAAAGTGAAGAGGAAGATGATGCTTTGAGGCGATTTGAAGAAGAGCAAATACGGAAAGGTGTATCGATTCCACAAGCGCAACAGGAGGAGGACACTACATACCAAATGTATGTAACACAACAGTATCTTTATGGTAATAATGACATTGACCCCAATTATACTCAATATAATGAACATGCGGTACCTGGGCTTGGCTACCCAAGTTACCCACCAACATCGTTAAATACAGTAACCATGGATATGGTTTGGGAAAAGATGAACAATCGTATTGTTTCGTTACAAGAGGTCAATAGAGGTCGTCGCTTGGAGAAAGAGAAAATGTCATCACAAATGGAGTCATGTGATGCAAGTATAACAGCTTTGGAGACACAGATGAAGGATGCAGAGGGTCGTTATGGTTTTTTTCAGGAGATGAGGGGGTATGTCAAGGACTTGATTGAATGTCTTAATGAAAAGGTGCGTCAGTAGAATGTTGATTGTAACTTGCCAGGGGTCATGTTGCAGGGGCCATGTTCTAGGGTCTGCATTCACTAGAATTTGTGGTTTTGGCAGCTGCCAAACCAGAGCATGTGTTGTGCAATGTAAGTGAAACAGTACAGATTTGTGGCGTGGATATGCCCACTTGATCAATATTATTAATTAGTTTTAAAATTATATCTAAATCTATATGTATTGGTACAAAAATACTTAACTTAAACATTGATATTTAATTTTACAATGAATAACAAAAAACTTATTGATAGACTACGACATAGTCTGTGTAATGTGATAAGTGCCCTCATTTCCGCTCATGAGTGTCTGTGACGCAGGCTAACTTATTGATAACTTAGACAATAGGACAGATTTGGTCCTAGAAGCTAAAGGACCAAATCGGTCCTATTGTCTAAGCTATCAATAAGTTAGGAAGCTAAGCTGGTCCTACTCATGTGTAAACACAGTACTATCATCCTCTATGATTTTGAGACAAGCAAGGTCACACATAATTACTTGTACATCATATAGCAAATGCTCATAAAACTATAAAGCTACAATTTTGAAGAACTGTAGTCGCACATGAGTCTACACAATCTACTTGAATCCATCCATCAAAGATAACAAAGTAATGGTATTTAATGTTGGAATTATAGGTTCCTTTAATACAAGGGTTGGAATCTAGAATGCATTCATTATTAAAACAAGGAGCAGACAGATTGATTGAAAGACGTCAGAAAGATGTTCAAGATCAGGCTGAAAATTTTGCTGCCGCACAAACAGGTAATGGTAACAATATGTTATCAATTGTCACACTATCAATTTTTTTTTTTTCAAATTGGAAGAATAAAGTCAGTATGTCATTGAAATTGCTGTTGAAATTGCCTATTAATTTTACATGAATTAGGCTGTCAGATGAATTTAAAGAAATGCAGAACAGACAAAAAGCTATAATGATGTACAAAATAGTGTGTGGCTTACCACCAACATATTTATTGGAAATGTTCACACTTACATAATACATGTGGCTTAAATAATTATAATCTTTGTCAATCAAAGTGAATATTACTTTGCTTATACAGAAACGAAACTGTGGAATTCTTACCTGATGAGATGAAAGAGCAATCATCTTTAAAACTATTTTCAATTTTGTATATATATGTATATAAACTATGCACAGTGTTTAGGAATATAAGCATAAAATACAGTATATTAGCAAGCATGAATATAGTATTTAATTTTGATTTTTAAAGCCTTTAAACATTTGTTGCAAACATTGACATTTCTTAGAATGAACTTTTGCAAACTGTTTATTGTCAGTTGAAAATAACAATAGTTCTTTTGTTAGGAAAATCAGTACAAGCAAAGCCTGAATTTGATGAATTTGGTCGAGATAAATCAGCATACATGGAGCAAGCAAAGCAAAGGAGAGCAGTGGAAAGAGAGGCAAGAAGAAACAGAAGGAAAAAGGAAAGAGAAGCAGCCATGTTGAAAGAAGATGATTCAAAACAACATCATGAAGGATTCTCCTCTGATGACGAGGAAGGAAGTGGGGACGTTTCGAGGTTCAAAAATGAATCAGGTAAAACAGGAAAATAAATCAAGGGATGGATTCACTGCTCTGTGGAGGAGCTAAATCTCTTTATTAAATCTCTTTTTAGTAAATCCACTGACTATTTTTGAGGATTTAAGTTTTCTTCAATTTACTGACTTCATGTTTTCTTTTGCCTTTCTATGCAGAAAAGATACTGGATGAAGCAAGGAAAATATTTGAAGATGTGTTAGAAGATTTTGCCAATATCAAAACAATCATAGCAAGATTTCAGCAATGGAAATATGGCTTCCCTGACACTTACAAACAGGCATTTGTCCATTTGTGCTTGCCTAAACTGATTTTGCCATTTGTCAGAATTGAATTGTTGGATTGGAATCCACTTGTGGTAGTTATTCACTTATTGATTTTCAATTTGAGTAAAAGTGAAAGCACATTATCATCGAATGGATCATCCATTTTATTGATCATTCGTCTTGATACAAACTATGCAGATGAACTAGCCAAAATAGCGTGTTCTATACTGCCAATGCTTCTGCAAACAAGCCATGATTCAATATTTCATGTACGCAGACGATCCTGTTAGGACGAACGGTGGTGGTTGATGCATCTCTTTGAGGGGTTTATACAGACTTACCATCAGACGAACTTTCTTTTCTTTGAACACATTCCTCCAATTGGATCTTGTCAGCAAACTCTTTATACTTATATTTTTGGTTATTTTAACAGAAAGGATGCAAAGATTTTGAAGAAATGCAGTGGTTTGAAAATGTGATGTTTTACGGATTCAAAGATAATTCTTATGATCCTGATGATGAAGATATGAACTTTATTCCACGTTTGGCTGAGAAAGCTCTCGTGCCCAAATTAACAGGTTACTGTCTTTTGCTTTGCTATATGGGAACAACTCATGCTTGATGCTTCCTGGTACAGTTGAACCTCTCCTAAAACTTTGCTCTGTCCCTTCATTGACGCATTATAAGACAAGCTTCAACTGTAATTTCAAATACCATGCTGTATTTATACAGATTGACTGATTATAGATTATCTGTGTGGACAAACTACGCAGTCTCAACCGAAATTATCGGTGTGTTGGGCGCATTGTATACTCAGTGGAATTATAAAGCGAACCGTCTTTGTGAGGCCCTTTCAGAATAATACTGGACAATCTTCCTAATGTCACGATCTGTTTGAATATTTAGGTCTTCTCGAGCATATCTGGGATCCGTTGTCATTGAGACAGACTGTATTTGCTGTGAATCTTGTAAAACGTTTAGTGCTCGATTATCCAACTGTCTCTGCGGAAAAGAAACATACACAGGTAGAAAAAGTTATCAATAATATTTCAAGTTACCCATCAGAATTCGAATATCATCATGCTACTTGCCGCAATATTCAATCTCCAAGCAGCCAGAACCATATTGGTTGTTTGGTAAATAGTATTGCTAAAGTAATTCAGAGAAATTAGGAATCACAATTCACCAATAATTGTAATTTCCTTTTGAATCTCTGATACATCCAACCCTTCTTTTGACTATTGATCTTTTTTTATTCTTTGCAAAATTTCCTTGTATATATACTCAGGGTTCTATGGGGACCATACTACTAACTCTTGACTACGAAATCTTGACTACGAATTCTTGACGAAGGGCCTTCGCTCGAAACGTCGAGTTTCTGCTTATTTTTTAAGGTAGTAATATAACCACTCAGCACAGCATTTTCTATAGGGACCTAGATGCATGGTTGCATTTTTCGCAGCTGTTCCTGGTTAGGTCTAATAGATGTATTTAGAATTTCCACTTGATAATTTCCATCTACAAAAAACTTCCAACTATTATTCAATCGAACGAGATGCCAACAAAATCTTGGATTCTTGGTATTTATACCCATTTGATATCTCTATTTAGGAGTTATTTAACACTGTCGTCACAAGAATTAAGAAATGTATGAATGATGATATATTCGTTCCTCTCTATCCAAAATCGTAAGTGTGAAACTACATTCTAGCTCTATAGTTGATTTCTGGAACTGTAATTCCTGTGTCTACAGTATTAAAGACTTCACTTCTTAATATCACACACTGTAACAACATTCCACTTAATTCTGAAAGTGAAAGTGAAAGTCAAACTAATTCTCTGATTCCCCTAGCCTTCTTGAAAAGAAGTCCCTTGGGGCAGAAACATTCGTAGAACGACAGTTTTGGAGTTGTTTAAAGGTTTGTTAATAAAATGCGTCTCTTGCATTCAATAAACGTTGTTAGGTTTTTGATGTTAAGATTTATTTACTGTACAACTGGGTTTTTTTGGAAAAAGTAAAAAAATATCTCCACAATTCTATAGTTATTAGGTAACATATTTCTCTGGCACGGCTTAATCTCCTCACCAAAGTTGCAAGAATTAGCAGTAGATGGTGTACTTAACCGATATCTCTTGCTGGCTCTTCAACATGCAGCTGGAAAGCATTATGAAAATGTTGTTAAATGCCAAGCTGTAAGTACCATATCAATGAGCGCATTCAGGGCTATACTGTATCGGATAGCTTTAGCGTGAAAAAAGGGATTATTGAAACCAGGCCTTAAAATATCTTTCACAGGGCCGTCTGACAAAATGTCCGATGACGTTGAGTTTGGGTCGGACATATGTCCGATGACCTTCAGTTCAGTTTTGACTCGGAAATAAGTCTGAATGACACAAATGAATATCAGCACAATGTATTAATTCTGAACGGTAAATGTTGTCAAAATATTAAATAATTTGTTTCTTTCATACTCATTTCCAAGCCAAAATTAACTTGCTTTCCAGAACAGCAGTATTAAGAAAGACTTCGACAACTTAAGCCCGGTTTCCACTTCACCATTTCGCTCGCCACCCCGCGCTCGACTACGTTAAAACAACATTTCCAGTTCACCTTTTATACAATAGTACTCTGATTCTCTATTTAACATACAAGCCTCTAGTCCTGGACTGAGGTACATTTTGATTTACGTTGGACAAAGCTACAGTTAGGTCGGACACCAATACACTCAGGTCGGACAAACAATAAACCTCAGTTTCACTTAGGTCGGACAGAATGTCCGGTAGTTTCCTCTCTACGTCGGACAATTTCACGAATGGGTCGGACAATGTCCGTGACCGACCGATATTTTAAGGCCTGATTGAAACGGAGAGATGTTGTTTCGCTCTGCTTCTGAAAGTTGTACATTCCGTATCGGATAGGTGCTTTTTCGCGCCGCTACGGAAAGCTATCCGATAAAGGGACCATCAACCAATCAGATGCGTTTGATTTATTTGATTAACCAATCAGATGCGTTTGATATATTCGATTAACCAATCAGATGCGTTCTGGTAGTAGCAGTTGTGGAAGTCAAATCTGAATCTCTAAAGTCATCGATTAGTCGGTCGGCCCAATCAGTCAGTCACAAAGAGTTTCTATTTTTAGATCGTGACAGTTCTGCCACGTGATTGGTTCGAAGGATCAAGGAGGACAACATTGGATTGTTTGGGTTCTTTCTCTCGCTATCTTGAAAGTTTAGCAAACTCTTTGAAGTTGAAAGCCGAGGGTTCCACTCCTCAAGAGAAGAAGAAAGCTAGGTAGTGTTTTCGGAAAGTTATAACCATCATTTGGAACTATTCTGATAAAAACGTCTTATCACGCGAAAATTCAAAATTTTTAACAAGAATTTGAAGGTTCAACAACCTCAGCCAAGCGGTGCGAGGCTAGTTTTACATGATTGAGAGATAAGATTAGAACCTGTTAAATGCTCTCTACAGATATGAAAATTTCACGCGAGAACTGATGAATACATATTTGCAAACGTCAGTACTCGCATGTGAGATTTATGGAACTGCACTAGTGAACTCCATTTATTTTTACGATAAAACATTAAGACACGGTACGTGGCACACTAGGCCAGTATTTCTGTTGTTTAACTTGTTATCATTGTATCATTGTTGTTTATTCTATTTTAGAGCTGCTATTAAAAAAGTAATCTTGATGATGGTTCAAATCAAAGCTCTCGACATGGCAGAGAATTTTAAAATGGCGCCATAGGTGTGTCAAGATAAAGTACAACATGGACACTATAACAACTTCTTGTGAGTGGAGAATCTGCAAAGAAAGAACGGGATTTCTTAAGAGCTATATTTCACCGGGGGGGGGGGGAGGGGGGGT